ATGAGACACACTTTGATCAAGTCAGGCAGTTTCCAGGCTATGCTGGGATTGATCTCTTTACAGGAACCACAGAGATTAATTGTGTCCATCTTCTTATCCGACTCTCGGTAAGAAACCAACGATCCCTAAGAGAGTTCACGTTTGCAGTTTGTTTGAGATCCCTGTGATGGATGGAGGCGTCTTTATGCCTCCGGGCTCCTTTTTTCCCACTTCCCTTGTGTCCTTTTGTTCTACTCCTGCCCTCTTCTTTCTGTGTCTGAGTGTCTGTCTTATCTAACTGCTTGTATTTTCCATCTCAACCCAAACTGACAGCCCGACTCCAGACTGACTTTCACCCGTCCGCCCTGCCATCTGGGGCTCGGCTCCCGGGACGAGTCCGAACGTCTGGACGTCAGACTGTTGAAGGGCCCGTTGAAAAGCGTTGAAAGCGTGAACACTGTCCAAAGAGCTCACCGGCACGTACAAAAGGGCCCGCACATTGAACGGGCTGCCAGGGGAAATAGAGGAGTGGAGGCAGGTGAGACAGAGAGGCAATGTTTTGTCCTGTTTTCTCCCCCTTACAGGTGAGACTCCTCAGAGTCTGCAGTACAGACCTCTGTTCAGATGGATCAGGGACACTCTCCAAGAACATTAAGAGGGCTCGGCGTGAGGTTGGCACGACACGGACTGAGAGCCAAGTCTGGAGGAAACGGTGACGATGGAAGAGCAGGTCAAGAGAGGCCCTTATTCTGAGGTGTGATAGCCTTTGGCTTTAGCAGAATTAAGTGATGATATCTGTAGTTTTGTGAACATTTTAACCTCATCAACACCAAAGATTGTTCCAGTTTGAGTTGAAGGTTTTCCTGTGATTTTAAGATTACCACAACCGAGTAATAATCAGTTTCCTCAGATTATCAGGATTTCTGGCCAACAATTAGGTTTGATTAAAAAAAAACAGATTGGCATATTATTATTAATCTTAATATTAATTAAGATTAATATTAAGGGATGTGCAGGTCACTCCCCTGCACATCCCTTCTATTACACTCGACACTTTTACACTACACTTACATCTCACTTGTTTATAGTCCAGTTATCTGTTCGTTTGTGCACTTTATTTTATATTTTACTGTAACTTTTAATATGTTTCTACTTTGCACTGTTGATTGTTGTTGATTGTTGTTAAATGTTATGCACCTCCCGTCATGTCAAATTCCTTGTATGTTCAACATACCACGGCAATAAACAGTTCTGATTCTGATTCTGATTCTGAAATTATGTTTATCCAAATTTTCCTAATTTTCCCCTTTCATTCAGGAAATGTGTTATTGTTACTTTTTTGGTCGAACAACAATTCCTCAACGCTGACAAGAATAAGGTTGTCACGGGACATTTGTCACATGGGACAAATGTGACATTGTCAAACAGAGTGAAAAGAGCAACTTAAAGGGATAAAAAAGACAACGCCGATAAGTGTTGCGCTCTCTCAAAATAAAATAAGATTAAAATGGGAAAAATCAAAGTCTGAGAGCTTAATACCATCAATAGAAGAAAAAAAGAGATGACAAAGCAGCTCTTTCTCTTGTAGAGTAAACAGGGATGGTGGTGAAATACACAGGACACTTGAGGGACAGATGCTGAGGGCGAAGAGAGTTAGAGATAAAGGGAAACAGCGTGCATGATGTCAGGCCACCGCTTGGCGCTGCAAACTGGCTGCAGATGGCGGGACGAGAGGTCAGGGATGGAAATTAAAGAACAAATTCGGAGCAGCAGCTGAGGGGGAGAGGAGGTGCTCTGACTGGGGCGGGGGTCAGTGTGGACCCCGGCAAACAGACTTTTTTTTTTTAAATGCCAATTAGAACTTCCTCCAGCTTCCAGCTCAGACCACGGCGACGGCCTGACCCCTAATCATCCTCAATTTGGTTCGGGCTCTGAATCTCTGATGCGTGTCTCCTCAGATTGGCTGTTTATTTTTCGCAGCACTTCCTGTTTGATTGAGTACCCCGGGCTTTAGGGCTTCACTGAGCGCATTGGGGGGAACAAAGGTGACGTGCACGCTTACTGCTCGTGTTAATCACCGCCACGAGCAGTCAATCCTCAGAGAGATATATCTCCTAAATTCCCATTCCTTACACAGAATAGGACCAAACGTTTGTCGATTTACGTATCTGCATTGGATTCGAATTGCACATAAACTTTAATTGATGTCCACTTCCTGTATGACAGAGAGGATGAACTTTCTCTGGTTCTTAGAAGACTCGTCTCGACACAGGTGGACGACAGATCTGACACGCTGAACTTCTGAACTGTGTGCGCAGTCATCACGGTAACCGCCTTCTCTCCTATCAGTTCCACTCTTTCCTACAGGGGGGGATTCATACACTTCTTCTAACCCCACCTCTCGCCCTGATGTGCCTCTGCAGGTCACCCCAGTAATGAGCCATGTGGTCCCCTCTGGCACTCACTAATCAGGGATTCAAGGCCGCCCCATCCTCGGCCCAACGCCGCGGCAGCAGAAACACGCTCTGAACCCAAAGTGGTTGTCTCATTGTCCATCTGGCCTCCATGCCAGGCCCTGTCTCCACTCTGCCGGCGATTTATGCCGTCCTGAGGTGTTTCCCCTTTTAACTTGCACATAATTGGCCCCCAAATGCAAAAAAAAATAAAACGATGTGTGGGCCAGTTTTTATTAGTTGCCAAGCAGAGGTCATTGTTGTTGCATCGCTCTGACTCCTCGGTGCTGTCAAGGTTAAAAAGACACACTTTATGTCTGTACCTTGACCAATTATTGAAAGAAACGAGGAGTCCGTACAAAGTCAATTATAAAATGACCCAACAATGGAATATAGAGCTGAATGAAGGCAGTGTGTGATGGTGTGCGCTGAATGACAGTGGTAAAGGAAGCAATGAAATCAAATCATATGGACTCAGAAATACCTTCTGTCCTGTTTCCTGTTCATAGACTCCACCTCCACAAAGGGACTCACCAAGCATAATACCTCATACCTCTATTGGTACAACATTGTGCAGAGGCTATATCAAAAACATACAGGGTATTTAGGAAAAAAAAGTGCTTTAACCATTTAAATACGTGCAATCACACATTTAATGATAAATTACTTTGTAACGTGAACTGTGTAGCTCTACTGTTTACCTGATTATCATGGAGATGGAAGATGAGTAAGAGCTGTAAAATCAATCTGTAAAATTACACTGTAAGCTGGAAACTGGCTTCTGATCAGACTTCAAGCTAATGGATCTAATCCTCAAACCATGCAGCCTTCCTTGATCGTATTTCATCTTCACTGCTGTACCTGAAGTAACACCATCGCCAGCCCTTGTTCAAGACAATGCTGTTCTTAACATACACTCCAACAGTAAACACATTCCAGGCAAATTGTGTTTTCCTATCCTCTTCCTGCTCTGCTGATTTAGAGTATAGTGATTCTATTTTTTTGATGAGACAGCAATTAGTCACATTAAAGTCAACGAAACACTTGTTAATCGTCGTCCTCTGTTATAAACTGTGCCCCAGGTAAACGTTTCTTTTTAAATAAATCATGAGACAGTTTGGTGTCAAGTGCACTGAGGTAAATCCGAGTGCACTTGGTCAAAGCTTAAGTGCGTATGTTGAAAGTTGCACAGCGAGGAACAACATGCTAAATGTGAAATGTGAAATAAAAAGCTATTTAATGCACTGATTTTGCAGTCTTGCTAGAAATTTAGGATTTAACAATTAACTTTAAAAATGGGACAGCAAATGTCAATGAATGGATAAATAGATAGATTAACAGATTATTAACTATATTTGATTTAAATATCTGTATTATAATAAAAAAACCTAGTTCACAAATAGGGAGCACATTAAATAGGCCACACTCCACTTTGCAGTACAACCACTTAAATGTCATGCTGCTTTCACATATAACAGTTCTTTAATTAACCTTTGACCCCTCTAACGCACTTGGGCCCAATCCTAATCTCCACACTCACGGACTCATGGATTTTCCCGCAGAATCTGTGAGGGTTTACGGATGTCGCACTGTCAAATCAACTGGAGTTTGAAGGCTCTCGATCAGACATTTTGAGCCCTTTGTGAACCCTTTCCGTAAATCTGCATGTCTGCAGACTTTGCCCAAGGGAAATACCCACAATTCATAGCAACATGATGTTAAACATGGGGTTATCAGTGGAAGCATGGAGACGTAAAAAAAGGTAAATAAAGAGGATGGCACCTGTGTGTTCAGCCTGGCAAATTACATTTACTCAGAAACATTAAGGATTAAAGATGGAACATAAAAGCACATGAAATTAGAGGAATGCAAGCAGAGATTATGTTACACAGATTTATTTATCAAACATTTAATTTTGTCATTGAAGATGTTTTGACAAAAACGTGTAAATAGATTATTTGAAATTACCTCTCATCTTGTGAGGAAAGAGCCTGGAAGATGTTCAAATTAGCAAGTAGAATAAAATAAATACCCTCAATTGTACAACCAATCAACCATGTAACAGGTGATGTCAGTAAATCCCTGAGGGTTCAGGGTTTGAGGCTTTACGGGGGGCATTGGGATTGGGCCTCAGATTGGGCCTTGCAGTCCATCTATTAAGAAAAGAGCTGGGCGAGGCACTGAATGAAACATTTAGCAGAAATTGGATGGGAACTTAAATCAACACCCTGCATGATTTGGAATATCAGAAGCCGTGTACATAAACAGTTGGCAAATAAATACCAAATAAATTATTTCACAGAAAGTTTTGTGGCGCTAGTATGAGGCACACCACAAATATGCCTTCTGTATTGTCACCTACAAAGTAACAAGTATGTGCAAATAAGATGCATAATAAATTAACATAAATTCTAAAATGTATAAAGCTATCCTGAATTGTGAGAGATAAAGTGTGTATTCATTCATTTATATTTCACGTTTGCGTTAGGTGTTTTTTTTTCATTCAGGCAATATCTGGAACATCAACGTCACCGGTCTGGGTCCTTGACGTGGCATCGGTAAACAAAGATGGCGGTCGTGGTTAGAGCTTCATAGAGTTTGTCTTTATATTTAGTAGTTTAGAATGATTATGTTAAGTCAATAAGATCCATATGTTCTATATGCATACTTGCTGCTGTGTTTTTGAGGCATTGTAGGTGTGACGCTGTAAAATGAGCGGCTGGGCCGGTTTTTCTGACGTGGAGCTTCGGAAGATGCAGCAGCAAGGTAACATTTCTTACTGCTAATGTTAGCCGGACAAGTTAGCATCTTACTCTGCCCCCGTTATTGGCTTCTTTTTAACACACTTAACATTAATTCTGAATAATTGTCTGTAAAAACCTTTGTACCGCATGCATTAACAGACTCAGCGATGCCCACAGCGGGAACCCGCGGGCGGAAACCGGTTCCAGCCAACCGGAGTCGGCAGCAGTTACAGCGGGAGAGGGCCCTTCAAGAAGCCGTTCAAAAAACCGCTGGAGCCGCGTCTCTTTGCCTCCCGCCGGAGCAACAGCTCACCAAACCGCCGCCGAAAGAAGATCCTGAGCCTCAGCCAGCAGCCCCTCCAACAGGAGCTCTGGCCGTCAAACAGGGGGTGCAGCACAGACCCCCCGAGATGAAGCCGCCTCCAGAGGAGGAGACCCCGGCCGTCAAAGAGCTGGAGACACAGGAGGTGGCACTGTTAGTACATCTTTTTTATATCGTACTCACTTTTGTGATTTCATTGGCTATAAAAAAAAAAAGTCTGGTCTGCGTTGTTACCACTGTTGTTTCCTATTGTTAAGGCTAGTAACTTATGGTGTGTCTTTATTCCAGCTGTTCTTCTCCCTGTCATTGTGATGCTTTAATGTTCAGGCTTTGACCCATTGAGGATTGTTGCAGGCAATACGTCATTTCGTGATTCAGGTTCATATTGATACCTGTGCAACCACGAGGAGAAAAAGTCAGCGTCTTTCTCTTTCATCTGTGACCAAATGAAGGTGACAGATGAGTGAGAGGCCAACACTAAAGTAGATCTAAAGTAGATTTATTTAAATCTAGGTCACTATTATTCACTCAACCCAAAGTGTTGCGATATTCTTAAATGTGGACATGTACGGATATTACTGAGATGCTACTGATGCTTGAATCTTTTATGTAACGTTTATTATGAAATACGCATCTGTTGCACCACAGATTCAACCATTTCTACGCAATTCGAGGTTTATGTTACATTTTGCCTTCATACGGTGAATGTTATGAGTTATTGTCATCATTTTAGTCAAACCGCCTTTTAATGTACATATTTGTTTTGATGCGTCTTTGGCATCAAACCCAAAACTACTTTCATAGTGTGTATTTTTATTTTTTTATTTTTATATATTTTTTTTAAAATTTGTTAAGCATTTTTGTGTGATAAATTCTCTCCGTGTTTGATCACAGACGGGAAAAGACGCGTCTGGAGCAACTGCAGCAGGAGCAAAAGATAATCGAACAGAAGAATAAGCTTAAGAAGGCTCTGCTGACAAAAACCATCGCCGAGAAGTAAGCATGGCTGTCTTGGTACTGTAGTGATTAAAATGTTATCATGAAAGTAAAACCAAAATTGGGGCCAAAAGATAAAATTTTTCCTCAAGAGTTTGTTGTTGTCCACAGGTCCAAACAGACTCAGGCAGAGGCTGTGAAGCTGAAGAGGATCCAGAAGGAGCTCCAGGCCCTCGATGACATGGTGTCCAATGACATCGGCATCCTGCGAGTAAAGATCGAACAAGCCAGCTGGGACTTCTCCGCAGCCAGGTAGAGAGACAACACGAGAACATGAGAATATACACACAGTGCATGTTCTTATCTACGATTTAAAACTACAATCAATGAGGCAGCGGCGCCACAATCAAGCTATGGTCTTGCACATGTCAAAACATGCAGAACGGTGACAACAAGGTTACACCACGGGAGCAACCTGACTGCAGTTGGAAAAGGAGGGAAATTTAAGTTATTTCAAGGGCGTAGCTGTAGGGGGGGCATTTTACATTCATCGAAGTGTGCACAGCTGCACATAAACTGATTTGTGCAGCCAATTTCAATTGACCGCCAGATATTTCACCACGTTTCTCTCACAATTGTGAACTCTCCTCAGGATCAGACCAGAATCCCACAGTGAACAGGGGCCCTTAACATAGCTGGAAGTAAAAGAGTCAACAACCTGCCACAGTTGGGATTGAACTCACAAACTTTGATGGAGGAAGCAACAGCTCCACTAATTGAGTTAAAATCAATACATGTTAAAATACCTGAGGTTTTGGGGCAGACTGTGTTGCTCAAAGACACTTCAACATGTGGACCAAAGAGTTTGGTGATTGCTGGGACATCAGCAACAATAAGACATTATGTAAATGAACGGCCACTAAGCTTTCAGGATGTTATTAAATCATATTCCTGTTTGAAAGACAAACCAGTCGGTCTGATTTGAATAACTAAAACGTGATTAAACAGCACTGTCAGCACTTAATTTGTAACGAAACAAAGTGACCAGGTAATGAAGTGAACATCCACTGTAAATGCTGCCCCCTGCAGCTTGTTACCGGTACTCACGTAAACCTGTGATCCACATGTGTTCTGAAACACTTTGAACCACTTTCAGCAGACAAAGCCCTGCTCAGATGTTCTGAGGAGTCTTTCACTTTGCTTCAGCATACAGAGACGAACAAAGCAGGATTACAACTAAAGGCTGAACATAAAATTTAAATGATATCTATAATTAGCAACATCTTGAATCGTTTATTGTTCCTCACTTGTTAATCAGCAGCATTAAACTTCCACAGTAAGACTGTGAATAGTTTTAGAATGTGTTTTTTTTGTTCTGCCAACATTGATCCAGAGAGCTGTGTTTGACCTTGTAGCTTGCGTAGCGAGATGAGCTCCATGTCATGAACACTGTTCATTACAGATGTTTGTATAACAGGAAGAGGACCGGACCTCCACACACTCATTACGTTGTGATTCTGTTATGATTATGTTGATAAAATCAATTGTTGAGGTTTTGCTTATAGGTACAACGTAAAACCCCCCCTGAGGTGACATCATCTGTTTAGTCACCGCAATGTTTCTAAACAGCATGTGATGTTCTGTTCTTCACATTACAACAAAGTTTCTGCATTCAGACATTGTGGGAGGAGGGGGGGGGGGGCATTATAATACCTTAGTTTTAAAACGGATACCAAAACGATACTTGGTTTTTTTCAGAAATATAAAGATGTTTTTCTCCCCCAAAAAACATTTTTTTACATTTATCAAAAGAAGCCAAAGCTCTAACATGCTAAATTACATGTAAACAAGATTCTGATTCTGTCAATTCTCTGTAGTTTATGATACTCATATTTCAGTTTGTACCAAACAAGTTCAATGTTAAAAACCCAACCGGGGCGATTGAGACATAATCAATCAATCAATCAATCAATCAATCTGATAATCTTTGCAAATTTATTGAAAATACTGATGAAAGATCTCAACAGTAACATCTTCATATTGTCCCTTTGTCTAAGGTAGAAATTAAACCTTAAATACATTCAAATTAAAATGGATAAAGAAAACAGAAACTTTTAGAAGCTGGAAACGCTCGGTGAACGATTGAAACAATGACATGATGATCGATTAACAATGAAACTAACCAGTTCATTGCACTACAACTAACCGTGCTCCTCAGTGGACTTATCCAATATTCTCACCAGTGTTTTGTATTTAATATCAGTCAGACATCTTTTCTCTGATCTTGAATACATTTGCTGGAGTATTTTAAGTTAAAAGAGGAATATGTTGCATGATGTGCGCTCTGCATGTTGTAAGTGAAAGGACACACCCTACTGTTACAGAATGAAGGTTATTAATCGTAAGTAAAAGTGAGAAATTATTCAGAGTATAAATGAGAAAATTGTGCAGCCCTGTGATTGAGTTTCTGTTGATGTTTTCTCTCACATTTTCCTCACGTATTTTCTCAGAAAGCGTTATGAGAAGGCGGAGGTGGAGTACGTGACGGCCAAGCTGGACCTGCACAAGAAGACGGAGGCGAAGGAGCAGCTGACGGAGCACCTCTGCGCCATCATCCAGCAGAACGAGCTGCGTAAAGCCCACAAGCTGGAGGAGCTGATGCAGCAGCTGCAGCTTCGGACCACTGTGGAGGAGCTGAAGAGGCAGGAGGAGGAGGAGGAGGAGAAGAAGAAGATAGAAAGCTGCGTGGAGACGCAGAGAGTCGGGAAACAGGGCAAGGGTTCAGTGGCGGATCAGGAGGGAACGGTGCAATCAACCAAAGACTGTAGACCCGCAGAGGAAGAGACGGTGATGCAGGAGAACGGAGGGGATGTCCGGCAAGAGCACCCCCCGATAACTGAACCCCCAAAGACCGAACAAGACTGTCAAACACTACAAAACTCTGTTCAGAGCGGAGTTGCAGCCTCCTGATGCTCAGATAACATGATCACACTCTAGGGATTCAAGTAATGCTAATGTTTTCCAATAATCCTCTCAGCCAGAGGACGTGAGGCTCCACGCTGTAACGTCCAGGGCCGGGTGGCCAACGTCAATTCTTTTTTGGTATCTGCCAAAATGAGACATTTCAGGGTTGGGAAAGATTGTGGTTTTGGTTACTGAGTATTGAGAAGAGTAAGCACGTCCTGTGTTCTTTGTGACTCTTTCAATTTTCAACCAACACGACACGTGAACTTAACAAAGGGCTTGTTGGTGTCACAGATATCGAGTTCGGGGATCGGGGGAGAACGGTTGTATCAGCGCTTCTCTTTTTGTGACGTTGCAAATTCGTAGATTACAAACATTTATTTATTTTATTTATAAAAATAATAATCTGGGCGGTATTGCATGTCCTTCACAGGGTATTTGCTGTTGCTTATTAGTAGTTTATAAAATATTTTTTTATTGAACTGTCAAGTATCCAAAGCTGATAACTATCTGGTTCAGATTGTACTGATTTTGTGATTTGATTGAAATCAAAACTTTGCCAGTTTTAGACTTACTTTATATAGACGAACTTTTTATAAGGCTTTGAGAACTTAAGCTTCTTTAGTTGAATGTAGAAAGGTGTCGGGGGCGGGAAAGCTATTTATTTTGGTGAAACGATATCGACACTGGTATCGATAGATTGCGATCAACACCCAGCGTGCCTGCAGGATCAGACCCGATCACAATCATCTGCAGAGTGAATCAGAGTGTCTCGCACCCGTTATCCTCAATCGGTCGCTGTTTTTATTTGTGCGCTTCCAAAACTTCCACACATGCGGATAAACATGTGAATTATCTCTCCCGAGCAAAAAGGTTGCATTCAGAAGATGACTGTTTTCGATTGTTGTCTCTTCGTGGGCAGTAATGAAAGATGGGCCCCGCTTACTTCCTGGAAGGAGGCCCGGGTTTGTGTTCCACACATGAACCCTTCTGTCTTGTGTGTTGTAGACCAACACGCGGGGCTCGTGTTTCTCAAAGCTAGTTCTCGTCTTGTCAGTGCAGCCGAGGAGCAGCGGGCCTCCTGAATGGTAAGACGATACCTGTTAATGTGTGTACGGATGCTTTGGGCTGCATGCCATTCTGCACAGTTTACTTTCTCCGGCTGCACAATGTGTCGACAATAATGTGTGACGGTGACCTGTATGTATGTGTGCCTGCTTGCATGTGAAGCAAACTACATGAATATAAATAGTTATTTAAATTGGGTAAATATTTAAAGAGGTGATGTGTAGATATACACTACAGTTTGATATTTTACGAAAATAAACTCTTTAAAAAAGTGTATTTTCGCTCGTGCATTATGTCATTTTAGCCTTTAAATAATGAGTTATCTGCAGGACTGGAGCTTGTGGTCCTGGAAGGAATTTACCCGGGGAGCACTTTGGGACTCGCATCGCTTTTGCGAGTCGTTTTAAAAGTGCAGTAAGTGTTTCTGTAAACCACTTTGAGATTTTACAGCGCTCCGGTCACATCTGGCCGTCTGAAGGAGAGGCCGTAAAACGCGGCTCTCTTAATTAGTCGGTAGGTAGAAGCTCGGAGTGGGAGAGTGACCACCGTCCTGTCTGTCCACGCACAACCTCCAAGGTCAGCGTTTGAAGTCCCTCCGAGCAGACTTCAGCTCAGATTTGACCAATTCATCAAGACGTTGGATTGAAAAGGACTGAATTATGTCAGTTCCACAACATCCACCGGTGGAATAACTGTGAAGTACTTTCCTTTAGTGTACTCATTGTATTACTTAGACTGCATAGTCTGTGTAGTTCTAAAAAGTATTTTTTTTTTTTAAGTGAGAATCTGCCAGTGCTGTAAATATATTCCACACTAAGTTTTTTCTGAAATACATTTTTATTTTTCATAATTTCTGTGCAGCAACCTGCATTATTCTGTCTGAAACCTTTTTATTTAATTTTTTTTCCACTTTTGACAAAATACAATTTTAGGAGTTATGAAATTTATCTTTACGATTGGGTTCCACCTCGACCAACCACAACACTAAAATACTGCCTACATGTTAATGCATCAATAATGATACAAATCTAGCATGTAAGATATACAACAACAGAAAAAGGGCCATTTTGCATCATGGCTTCTTTTGCTTTTGATATTTTAAGTGCATTTCTGTAACGTTAAGTACAATACTTATGGTATTTATTGATATAGTAGTAGGCCTACTCATCTTTTGAATGAAATCTGTAAAGCAGCAAAGAACAGTGCAAACTGAACTTCAGGGTGTTTATGCTCCTCCACAGTTTCACATGATCCACCTCACTGCTTCATTTAAAGAAAGGGGAATAATGATACTTGTAGGAACTCCTGAGGGGGGGGGGGGGTCCCTGTGAAAAGAAATGTACTCTGGATTATGACAAAGAAAGATGAGAAGATGCAGGCAGTGGAGATTACATTAGAAATACATGTCTATAGAGGAGTAGTGTGCGTGTGTGTGTGCGTGTGCGTGTGCGTGTGTGTGTGTTGGGCCGGACTTCAGAGAGCTGAGGGTTTATAAAGTAAAGTGTGATTTATGTGGCGCTGGCGTCCTTCGACAGGCCGAGAGAGACCGTGAAACCCGAGAAATCCGCGAGAGGTGAGAGAGGGAGAGGGAGAGGGAGGGAGAGAGAGAGAGAGAAAAGAAGAAACCCCAATCAAGTTCTCCTGAGAAAAATCTCTGCCATCTGGACGAGTTTCACCTCCATATCAACTGAACTTTGAACTCACTGTCGATACAACTGTGAGGCGACAGAAAATATAAAATAGATGGAGTCACAGACATGTTTGAACTGCTTTTGTGCAGTGATGATAAATGCCGCATTGGTTTATTATACTGGAACAGCGCTCATCGGTTTTTTATCGAGGTCTTATTTGCTTTGGCAATTAACAAAATCTGGTTCTGATTCATTCAGCTGCTGGATAATTAAGCCAATGTCACTTTAGCTATTGATTTAACGCTTCACCGTTGTAGCCGAATTCATGTTGTTATCCTAAGAACCCGCCGGTAGACTCGAAATAGATACATCTGCATGACAAATAGAAAATTAGACTCTTTCGACGACAAATGTAACGAAACGTTAATCGAGGTCGGCTTCATGTCACGGCTGTTAAAGCATGTGATGGGAAACGAATTGAGTTCGACCGAAAATTGGTCGATGTTCATGATGGGAAAAAATAAATAATACATATTAAAAATAAAACGAGGTTGACTTGTTTGTAAAATGATCCACCCTATAGCTTTAAATATAAATGAACCAAACCGTAAGCTGACAAACAAGTGAACCAAAAGCCAAAGGAAGAAAACCGCTAATAAGCCTGACTGATGTGTTTACTTCTGTCCTCTGATCAGCACTTCTATGTGTCTGCGGTGCTATAGGCGGCCTTTTCGGAGCGGGCTTTTTGGGGGGTTTGTAATAAAGAGAATCAGTGCGGCTGAATTAATTCCACACGGCCTCTCGCTCTGTAAAGTCTCCGTGTTGTTTTAATCAGGAGCAGATTGGCTGTTTTATGTCGGAACACCACAGACCGTTTACAGTTAGCAGAGCGGCGCGTGAGCTGCGTGCAACAATAGAGACAGCAGAACAAAACGAGTCGTAAAACATAGAAAGAGGGGACACAGATAGTTCATATAAGTAGTCTGCATTTACTCACGATTAAATACAATTACTGGCAGTGTAGTATTTATGTTTTTTACACCGCATTTATCTGACAGCTGGAGTTCATTTGCAGATCATATCATAAAACATCGCTGTTTTCTGCAAAACAGGTTTTTTTCAGGCTCATTTCAGCTCGATGACAAAAGCATATCTCAGGCGTCATGTAGAGTTGTATTTCCACCAACCCAGAACAACACGTGACCCTCCAATTTAATTGGATGCGCGAGAATAGATACGAGGTTTTTCTACGGGTGGGGAAAAAAACCTCATAGCTCCTAATTTCTATATTTGATTTCAACAAGTTGGGGATTTATTGATACATTAACATTTTAACAATTCACTAATTACATTTGAATATTAGGCCTAATTATTTTCATTACATTTATTTTTATTGAAATCTTTTACATTTAATGTAATTTATTTTTCATTTTAAGGCATAAAAGATTCAGCTTTATTAGCAAAGTATCAGACATACGAATTTCTTCAATATATTCAAGATAAGATAAGATAAGATAAGAGTTTATTGAGGAGAGAAATTTAGCATTACAGCAGCAAAGCAAACAAAGGGACATAGTATATATATATATATATATATATATATATAAATAAAACATGCAAGACAAATAATACTTAAAAGGGACAAAGCTATAGTCAGTAGGCCTTAAACCATATTGTGCAGTTTCTTCCTGATATTCCACATCAAAATGTCATAGCAGCAGTGGCAGGGGAAGTATTCAGTAAACATTGCAATAAGTAATATAAAAATCACCCTTTAAAAGTAAATGTCCCTTTACTTAAATCTTTAAGTAAAGTTAGAAAATCAGCAAAATATACAAACTAAAAACATGCATGTAAAAATGTGCAAAGTAAGAACAGCTGTAATGCAGTAAACAGAGCAAAGTGTTCCTCTAAAATGGGATGAAATACAAGTACAAAGTAGCACAAAATATAAATAGTGCAGAATACGTCACAATTGTACATTACAGTATTGTGTAAATGTACTGTCCTCCCACCAGCATGTCATCTTCTGCCTTGTATTGGTGCATAACACATCTTTAGTGTAAGAGATTTTAATGTGAAAAGTAAAGGATGAGTACTTCCTGCATGTTTAACGCAACCTAGCCATGCAGGTGATCAGTGCTGCTGACGAAGGCTGAAGGCTGTGTAGCGTTGTGAAACATGCAGCACCAGGCCTGACTCCTCAGCCTCTGACAGCCTCCTCTGAAAGCTCTAATCAGTCCGTGTGAGAGGGATTCGCCGCTCAGCAGCAGTCGGTGCGCTGCAGAAATCCCGGTGCAGCCGCTGCAATCAGGAGCAGCGCAGAGGGAGCGCGTCTGCAACATGTGGTTCCCTGCGCAGGATGTAACAAGGAGGCCATTTACTCCCAATTAGGGAAATAAAACAGGACAGGGGGCCAAAGCGCTACTCCAATCAGCACCAGGGGTCACTGGACAGCGGCGGCGGGATCATCATCATCATCATCCTCTGCCCGGGGCCAGGACGGCACGGAGGGACACAGAGCCAGCAGAGAAAGGAAGCGCTCGTTTTGATTGACAGGTCTGGTAGGTTTACTACTTGCAATACTACAGTGTACAAATGGTACTTTACACGGGAAAATACTGCATTTAAATATTATTACAGGACTTTCAATACTGAGGTTATTAGCCTTACAGTTATTATGTAAGCAGCATTTCAATGCCTATACTTTATGGAGTACTGGAGTCAGATAAAAGGAGTAAAAAGTTCAATGTCTCTCTGAGTAGTGCAGATAATAGAAGTACTCACAATAGGAAGAAAAATTGTGCTCCAGTATAGATTATACAAATCAAGATATTTACACCAAAACAGGTTTGTACATGAATACAGTGATATTTGATGATTTGATGATGAGTCTGACCTCCTGTAAGTTTGAATCTAAAAGTAACTTCATCTGTCAGAGAAATGATTAAAGGTGCACTATGTGCTTCAGAAATGTAATGTAGAGTATTAGTTGCTTTCAGTCCTTCTAGCTTTGTCCTTTGATACAAACTAAAAGGCAGTAAAGGTTTCTGGTCATCATTATGGTGAAAAACCTCACTGTACAAAGACAGAAACGTTGTGTTTTCTGTGTGAGATCACACACTCTCACCTGCCATGCTGAAGTCACCTCATTAGGATTTACGCCGGTCTCAGAGGGTCAGCAGGTTTTTGTGGGTTCCACCGTTCAGTTACCACCCACAGTCTCCCCGAGCCGGACCAGACTACAAACCGGTACATGCCCTAATTATCCCTGTCCGGGCTTCCAGTCCTAACGTGAGTTAAAGTGTGGAGTTTCACGACTCTGTGATCAAGTTCCATTTCAGACTCACAAAACCAATTTAGTGAAGCCCAGCATTAATTTATGGTCATCCGTGTTTCTGGCGTGTGCAGTTTCGTACTGTATCCGAGTGAAAGAGATCAGTGTTTGGGGTTTATGTGAAGCACTTTGTCGAAGTGAAATCTGAGCCCAGCACCTGCCTGTCAGACGCAGACAGGCGACTGTATCGCATCAAACACTCGGAGCCTTAATTTAACTGTCAAATGCTTTGTGTTGCAGATCAGAAGATGCCAGATACACAGTAGAAATATGTATATAGGTTCATTCTTGATCCTGGGAACATAA